CTTCCTCTTTTGAATTTCTAGGAGATTTGCGAATTTGAAGTTGTAAATATGCTGTAAATTTTGACGACCAGTCCTATTAATTCTGGGTAATAGATCTTGCTTCTGACTCTGTGCTTTGACTATATTTTGCTCTGGAGTTTAGATATTAATTTTCATGGGATCTGCTGGTTATATGAGGTTAAACAATAAATTAAAAATCATATGCTTTGTGATTTTCAGTCAAGAGGCTCGACAAGAGATGGCACAGGTGTCCATGATAGTATTGTGAACCAGCTTTTGACAAAGGTCAGTCAAAGATCAAGCTATTGTCAGTTTAGTTGGAAATTTTACGGATGTGGCTAACACTTTTTTCCAGATAGATGGTGTGGAGGCCTTAAACAATGTTTTGCTTATTGGAATGACAAACAGAAAGGATTTGCTTGATGAAGCTCTTTTAAGGTATCTCTATCCTTCACTAATAGATAGCGCTGTCGTTTTTTTATATCTTGGTTTTATTTCTTTTATTCATTTGAGAAGATACCATTCAAGGTGTATTTCCTGCTTACATGAACTTTGGGAATAAGAGTAGTACATGTGAATTTAGACCTTTTATTTTTTGGACTATAGGCCTGGAAGATTGGAAGTTCAGGTTGAAATAAGTCTTCCTGATGAAGCTGGACGCCTACAAATTCTTCAGATTCATACAAACAAGATGAAGGAAAATTCTTTCCTTGGTCATGATATCAATCTCCAAGAGCTTGGTATGGTTTCATAATTATACTTGTTCAAATCATGGAATATTGATAGAACATTTTTGTAAACCAACTCACTAAGTGGCAAATATAAACCTTGTTTTCAAAATCCTCTTTAATTTTGTATCAGGAAGACCTAAAAAATTCTGTCTTTATATTTTGGACTAGCTACTTACTAGCATAATTGTGTCTCTGACGTGATTTATTAATATTGTCTGGCAGCTGCTCGAACAAAAAATTACAGTGGCGCGGAGCTTGAAGGTGTTGTTAAAAGTGCTACATCATACGCGTTAAACAGACAATTAAGCATGGATGATCTTACAAAGCCTGTGGAAGAAGAGAATATCAAGATCACTATGGAGGATTTTCTCCATGCAATCTATGAAGTTCAGCCTGCATTCGGAGCCTCCACAGATGACCTGGAGCGCTGCAGGTAATTTTCCTTAATGTGTGTCGGTTTGGACGATTTGGGGATAGTTCTTGATGAAATGGGACTTTTGCGCACAGATATGCTGATATTAGTTTCAAAGCCAAACTTAATTTTTCTTCTTCTTTGTGAGTCATGCTCAGTTTGCATTACTAAATTCAGTTACCTAGGGACTGCTTTTCTTATCTCTTTAAGCAATTTCCATGGATTTCTGAAATTTTAATTAATGGGTGACTTTAGGCAAAGTTTCATTTCAAAACTTGTATACAAAGGAATGGGGTCTAGTATTATTGTTCGCTTGTTCGTAATTGCTCAATATTACTCCTATATTTTCTGTTGTTTCTGCCTAATACATTCGTGTTCCCAGTGACCACTTGCAATTTATGTACTACATTTCCTTCTGGAATTTTGATTTGTCAGTGATTTAGTTTTGACATTTCTGACATGTATGTAGACTCAATGGAATGGTGGATTCTGGTGATCGGCATAATCACATTTACAAAAGAGCTATGCTTCTAGTCGAGCAAGTTAAAGTTAGTACTAGAAGTCCTCTAGTCACTTGCCTTCTGGAGGGGACCAGTGGAAGGTATGATCCGTAGTTTATATAACCTACATTTATTTTTAGTCTTGCTGAATGCTAAACTTTTTTCCTGGACAGTGGGAAAACTGCTTTAGCTGCAACTGTTGGTATCGATAGTGATTTCCCATACGTTAAAATAGTAAGTGTCCATCTTTCTTTGTGCAACATTTTTAGACCTTGCCAGCCTTTCTCTTTGTGTGATATTGACTTGCTAATTTGTAGGTCTCTGCGGAAACTATGATTGGTCTTTCTGAGAGCACAAAATGTGCTCACATTGTCAAGGTCTGTCCTTTGGAAACACTTTAATTCTTATTATTGTGTTGTTCTGTCTACTGATAATCAGTTTTGGTATGAGTGCAACCAGGTCTTTGAGGATGCATATAAATCACCCATGAGCATCATTATCCTTGACGATATTGAAAGGTTATTACCTGCTGTTTGTGTTTGTTCAGAATTCGGCTCACTAGTTGAAGCCATATGTGTGTAGTTTTCTTCTGCGCAGTACTTAAATTTCTGATACCGCAGATTGTTGGAATACGTAGCAATTGGTCCTCGTTTTTCAAACATAATTTCACAGACATTGATGGTCCTTCTCAAACGACTTCCTCCTAAGGTTTGTTGTTCGCCATTTAAGTTAATTTCTTACAGTGGAACATCTCTAATTTGGTAAAATCTTTGTTCACAGGGGAAGAAACTTCTTGTCTTTGGGACAACAAGTGAACTAACCTTCTTAGATTCTGTTGGTATCTGTGATTCCTTCTCTGTCACTTACTCTGTTCCGACATTGAAAACAGAGGACGCAAAGAAGGTAAATGCTCTATAGCAACACATTTCCTTCTTCATATATGGACTTTTGAATTTGTTTTATCAATTCTACCCATTGTAAACTCCACCATCCGTTCTCTTTATTTCCTTTTCATTGTTTGGAGCTGGCAACGTGATTAGAATTTGCTTAACCATGATAATTACTCTCTCATTCTTTTCTAACATTACCCATCTATCGCCATTCTTGAGCAGATTAAATTCTCAGTTGTTTTTTCTCCTTTTGTTTCTGTGCTTCAGGTGCTACAACAGCTTAATGTCTTTTCAGAGGATGATGTCGATTCAGCTGCAGAGGCTCTCAATGACGTAAGTTCTCTCCTTCTCCACACGGAAATTAAAAATGACAAAACCCCGGTGAAATCGTTTTTGTTTGTTTATCTGACAATGGTCTTACTTCCGCATGCAGATGCCAATCAAGAAGCTTTACATGCTAATAGAAATGGCTGCGCAAGGAGAACACGGGGGATCTGCAGAAGCTATCTATGCTGGGAGAGAGAAAATCAAGATCACTCATTTCTTTGATTGTCTACAAGACATCGTTCGATTCTAAAAACTTCCAACATATACGTCTTCAATCTCTTGCTTCATTGGCTTGACCTTTTCAAGACTCCCCTTGGAGTGTCTTTAAACCGATCTTGGTTTTGTTTTGGAAACAAATTTGACCCTCGGATTTTTGTGTTTTCTGGTGGAGGAATGGAACTGAGAAGGGCTATATGGATGATGTATTATTCCTTTATTTTCTTTTTGCGGCTGAAACACAAAATGTCTTTTGGTTTTAGTTATTAAATTCGTGGTTGGTTTGACTCCTGAATTCCACTCAATGTGATGATGGTCCATCTCCCTCTTTGGTGATATGTCCTTAAAGGACCACCTCGGCGACCATTACTGCTATGTTCATGACCCTTTTAGACTCCTCATGCACCTTATAGATTTGGGACAGCTAGAAACATAGACTCCCACGTTTTTCACGGTCTGCATTTTCGACAATGTGCCCTGCCCCATTCGTCTTCTCACTTGTGATCTCCACCATTGGGATCCCCTTTCAAAGATGCAAACCGTGCTTAAGAAACTGTATTGAAATGACCGGGACTAGATAGTTTACAAAGACTTAGTATTGTGCAAGTCAACTTGGGGTTAAGTTTCTTTGCAGTCTCTAATTCTCTCTATAGATCAGAATTCTTGTTTCGTTTGCAAAAATTTGTATATGAATCATTTATCTATTTATAAACCAACGTACAGTTACATTTTTGTATTATTTTTCATTCTAGAATACATAATCCAGTTAAGAGATTTATACCTACAAGAAAGCTAAAAAAAACAGAACGTGAGTTCAACATATGTGATAAAATCTAAGATTTGTATATTAGAATATGCATGCATTAAGAACTTGTACAGTTGTCTATAATACTGGTCTAAACCCCAGATTAATTCCCATCGCCAGATAATAAATCTTAAAACACTTGAGGTTAATTTCTTATGAAACTAGTTGGTTGCTAGTTAATAAATCGCACATCAAATTTATAGCTGGTGAGATATCATTATCAGCTCCTCATATACTATATCTATGTGTCATATTTATAGACAAACTAATCATTGATTAGTGATTATATCCCCATCCTGAAATATTCCTTCATTAATCTTTTTTATTTAAAACTATATATATATGTGTAGATGCCTTTTCATGGTGCTCCACTTACTTATCTTTTACCTTCAGCTTGACTTAGTCTCCATCTTCTTCTTCTTCTACGACTTCTTCCCTTGGCCTTCAATATCTTCGCTCTTTTGAAACTCTCTTTTTTTTTTTGACATAATTTCGTAAGAAATTATGTTTTCTCATTGAGATTCCTCGATTGTACATAATATGTTTTGTGATTTATCAAGAGAGGCTTCTCCAAAAGATGAAAGAAGCATAGAATCAAAGGAGAGGCTGTTTCTATATTCTTCTATTATTGTGTTTATTATACGTTTCCCGACAGATCTATAAGATTACAGGTAAAAATTTCTCCTAAGTTTCTCAATGTTTGATCAAAAATATTTTCAAAGGAGAGGATGTATATATGATCACCCTTACCAATACATTCATGTTGAACTAAAAACATTTTTGCGTTTTATAATCCGCTTTTATAAAGTTTAATTTTGACGCTTGGATCTTTTATCAAACGAATAAATTCCAATCTTGTTGCATGGGAGAAACTTTATTCATCGATCACATGCATTATATCTTTATAATCTTATGCTACGTACGTACGTTATAACTTACGTACGTGTTTCTCTTTTGTATATATGATATATTAGTAAATACTAATACCATAAGTTTTGGTACATCGCAGTTTGAAGTAGGAGAGAGGATATTGTTGTTGAGCTTCTTCAATCTTGGCAATAGAATTTTCGGGTAGGAGAGAAGAGAATTCAAGGAAATAATCTGCATATATAGTTTGGCGGTTTTGTGATCTTCACCATGTCAGTAAAAATGAAAGGCATCTATAAAGGCTTTAAATGTATCTCTCAAATATTTGGTAATACTCTTTTTTTACCATTCTTCTATCAATTTAAAGGGTACATAATTATGAATCCATTCATATGAGTAAATTACTGCATACACTATGAGTCAAAAAAAAACTATAGAAGTAACATAGTTTGATATGTAATAATAACAATGATCACATATACAAAAATGACTACATATATTATAGTTTGAGATAGTTTTCATGTATTTGCTCTGGTTTTTAATTAATACATTAATGAAATAAAGATATAAACTTATTTTACAGCCGTTGAGAAAGAGAGGGATGAAATAGAAATTGGGTTTCCAACAGATGTAAAACATGTGGCTCATATTGGCTGGGAGGGTTCCTCTGGTAGTGCTCCTGGTTGGGTAAGTTCTTTAGTGTTATTTTTGTAGTATGTGACAATTGTAGTTTCTAACAAAATAAGTAAATCCTAAATTTAAATTAGATAAGTAATATTTACATAGCTAATCTATGTGTATATTTTTTTGGTAAATCTAATCTATGTGTATATATATTTGTATTTATTGTGAAGATGAGTGAGTTTAAGGTCGGAGCTGAGGTTTTATCTCCAAGAGCATCATCTTTTAGTAATGCAAGACCTTCTACTTCCTTTTTCACTTCTTCTTCCACCGGTAAGTTTACTCGTTTTCACCTTTTACATTTTTGTATTTCTCTTTACACTTCTGAATTTAATATATGATTAACCATCCACTTAGATTTTTGATAGAATAAAACTAACTACCTTATGTAATGTTTATAAATGTAGATTTTGATTATGGATCGAGTCAACGAACAATATCAGATACACTAAGAGATATCCCTCCAGTTACACCGATAGATTTACCAAAACATAACAAGAAGAAAAGTAGTAGAAGAAAAAAGTCATCGTCATCATCAACATCTCCAAAATCTTCAAGATCATCTATATTATCCAAATCTTCGTATAAATCAACTGTATCACGACTAATCTAGAACATATAATAACAGATGGAAGAGAAGGAAGAAAAAAATCAAAAGTTTGGTCATCTTTGTGCATACTTAAGGGGATTTTGTTTGCATGTTCTACTGATTTTCTTTTGAGATTTTTTTTAGGTTACATATATAGACATGTTGTAACGTTTGGAGTTTGGTTTCTTTGGTGTAAACATAGTCAGAATTATAGAAAGGAAAAACAAGAAAAATGTATGAAAAATGATTGTCATGAATTTGAGTGGTTATTAAAAAGTGTTTTTGTTTGTGTCATTTGGGAGAAAAGAAAAAGGTCAAAACAGAAGAACCAACAAAAAGTAAACAAAAACATATAGTAAGAAAAAGTTAACTAATAAAATAGAAACACCAAGAATGAAAGATAGACCTTAGCATATTGCTTCCTCTAATCTGGTTGTGAAGTAACATGTACACTAGCACTAATTAATTTGTTATAATGTAATTATGTAATCCTCTACGGCACATGACTTCAGCATTTCATAAAGAGAGAAAATAAGTAGGATTTTTATACATTAGTTTGTACTTTTATTAGTTTTGTATACATGTCTTAACTAAGGTCTTTTATATGGGGAAAAAGGTCTCTTAATTAAACTTATATAGTATGCTACTAATAACTCTTATAAATATAGCATATTCTATCAAAGTTTAACTTTGCAAATTAATGAAGAAGAAAAATGGAATCTAGCTATTAACAGTCATCTACATTAAACAAAATATAAAATTTCGAATGAAAACAAAATTCAAAAATTCAACTTGGAAAAATGTGGGGACAAATAAAAATTCTCAACATAAACTGAAAATGTTACTAAATATAAATTAAATGATTCGGTCCCATACATGTGTATATATATAGCCCACTCACTATGACTATATATGGCTTCTTATTCATTTTATTTTTAAGTGTTCCACTCGTTAAATAAAATATAAAAAAAAAATAAAAAATACAAAAATCATAAGAGAGGTTACTTTTTCATATAAAAAATACAACTGTCATAATAATTTTTTTTTTTTTGGAAAAGAACTGTCTAGAAATGTGCTAAAATGTGAAAATTAAGTCAAGAATCTTTCTGAAGCTTTGGTTTTTACAAAATGAAAATAATACAAATTCTACTTCAGACAGAAGAAATAAGATATATATACTATAATAATGTTGTATATCTATAAATTTTACGCAATGTCTGAGAATTCGAAATAATGAAATAAAAAATAAGAAATCTCAAAAACAAATTTTAAAATTTGGAGTCAATTAAATGAGTTGGTTGGTAGGTAACAGTAGCACTCTTTCCCACTAGCTTAATTATATGAACTTATGAAGGTGACGTCCCATTGCTCCAAGCCTTTTTCATCGATCTTCATTTTATTTATTTAACTAATCACCCTAGCTAAGCCACCTTCCGTTAATTAATTTTCACACATATTGACGTTTTCATTTAGAACTATTGAACTACACGTCGTTTACTTCTCTATTGCTGAGTATATGTATCTCGCGTCTGCAAAAACAAATACTACTTTTTTGGTTTCGTATATATGGTACGTAAGCATATGATTACATACCATCTTTTTTCTTTGTGTTGTCGACATTGTTTGTTACATTCCTATGTGTTAAAAAATATTTTCGTATTATTTGGTTATATACAAATGATACACACAAAAAAAAAGCAAATCTTGAATCGATTTTATAAATGACGTTTATATGTATATTTTCCGGATTAACATGATCAGGTGATGTTCGATTTATCTCCTTAAATATTACATGAGTATTAGTCTAAGCTTACCAAAAAAACTCATGGAAAAGTACGTATTCACCATGTCCAAATTGTCATTTTCAGGTTGGTCCAAAAAATAGTAATGCAAACTCGAATAAATCGATATTAATGGAGAGATATGTTGTGTGTATTGATGATAGATCCTAGGTTTACAAGACATGAGGGCACTAAAGAGCGCATGATTTTTCATAATTAACTCATCTTTCTCGCTACATAGAAAACAAATAGGGTCACATGCAATCCATTTCTTCACTCTTTAATTAAGACTTTAATTAACCTTGAGTTTACTCTATTGAGCACCATAAGCCACTAGCTATCCAAATAAATGTTTTGGTGTCGATGAACTTTTGTACATATGATTTATAGGGCAGATGTATTATACGTTTGCAATTATATAGAATCCGTAAAAAGCGATCTAAACACAAGAAAAATGTGAATTTTGATGGCAAACAAATTAGACACGATGATACATTAATTATAACATAATTACTTACATAATCCCACCAACAAAATACATCTCACTAGTATGCTTCACCTCTTATTACACATATATTTATAGATACTAGTGTATTCAATATGTATGGATTAAGAACTTATCTCTACAACGGAAATGTTTGATCGATGTACATTGCCATTTTCAAGTGACCCAATGTCTCCCCTATCTATAAGTTTATTCTCAAATTTATATTGTTTGAAAATTAAAAATTAGTGAAATAATATACATATATGCCTATAAACAGTATGAGACGACTTCGTTATAAATGTCACAGTTTCTTCCACTCGTTAATAACTAATAATTAATGAAAGAAAATATATATCTCATTGATATGCCGTCGTCCATCCATGCTTCTACTTGGAAGTAGTTCTCGAATCTCGATCGCATATAAGTGTAGTATATATATCTAGTCCCATTAATAAGAAAACAATAATATCATAAACTTAATTAGCATTTCAACAATAAAACTCATTTATGTACGTATGCATACATTTACACACATACAAAACACACACACGCACGCATGCATATTGTAGACTCGTCGTAGCTAACATAATTTTTATTAATCAAAATATAATGCGTTGTTTTTTGACATAGATGAGGTAGGAATCGGTTGGTAAGAGATAATTATACACATTATTAGTATTTGTGGAAGCCAAAGAAACATGAGCTTGCATGTAAGAAATTATAATAATTTCGTAGCTTAAACCCATATAGAGATAGAGATATATATGAGAATCCATAAGTTAAAAGATAAACAGTGATTTTTTTTTTGATATTTTTTTACTGATATGAACTATGAAACTCTCTAAAGATAAGTATGAGAGTAAGTTTCTCTTACTAGAGAGAGCATTAATGGAGGTTTTAGAGAATCATAAATGCATTGCAACCTCTCTATGCTCTCATCAATAACTCCTTTTTTCTAATTGAAACTCTCCACCTATTCCTTTTTCTTTTCCCTCTCTTGTCCTCATCTTCTTCCTTCTTCCTTCTTCGTCTTCTTCGTCAACCACAAAACTTCCATTGTTTCTTAATACCTAGCTAGCTAGCTCTCCCCGGCCGGTTTGAGATTATACCACCGGTTTTAGGGTAACCGAACGGTTTTTCGGATCCCTAGCTAGCAACCAACCCTGTTTAGTGTTTACTTCTTTTTGCCATTGTCCCCCGAGCTTCTGTTCTTCTTCAATTCACATGGGGATAAACCAAAGAACACTGTGAATTAGGGTTTCACTGTGTCTCCAAAAGTAAGATCTCTATTATCAATGTTACAAAAAGAGAGTACATATATATATATATATACACATTTATGTATGCATATGCATGTTTCTGTGTTTATGTATCTTGGGTTAGGGTTACAGATCAGATCCATATATGTGTTGCATGTTGTTTGTGAAGTCTTTAGATCTCAAGATCTTGTTTCCTATGATTTGACCTGTGTTTCTTTTTTCTCTGAGATTTGTTTTAGTTTAGTTTAATGTATAAATGTGTTTGTGTCTTTTTGCGGAGACTTGTATGAAGTTACTATGAATCTAAGATTAAAAAATAAAAAATAAAGCGTTACGGAAAAAAACTTTTCTTGGAGTTAGGAGTTCAAAAGGAGTTTGACGAAATCTACTTGGTGGTTGTGTCACACAAAAAAAGGACCATATTGACTTATTGTCAACGCGTTAATTAACCCCTATATATACTAATTAATCAAACCCTACATTAACATTTTTTAGTATTTTTCTTTTTACTTACTTGAAACGGTTCGGTTTTTTAAGTGCACAAAGACCAAGGTCAATTTAATTCTTTAATAAATTCAATTTAGAGAGATTAGAAAAACTTGTGAATCTCCTTCTCTCTCTCTATCTCTCTCTCTCTTCTCTTCACGTACTAGCTTCTGTGAGTCGACCAAAAGAGAGAGAGAAAATATCATTAAACTCGAACCCAAAAACTTCAACCAACAAAAGAAAGAGATCTGTCTTTTAGGGTTTCGAAAACTTTCTTAACATCACACAAAAGGGTTTCAGATCGAATTTGAGTAAGTATTTTCAGCATTTAAGTTAATACTATACAACCTACTATTATCATGTTCCTTCTTATCATTTAAATTAGGGTTTATTACATAAAACTCTTTTTCTCTTTCTTGCTTCTTTCCTCCACCGTCTGCTAGCTAGATCTGTCCGATAGATCTGATGTTTTCAGAAATCTTGACGGTTTCAAGATTGATTTGTGTGTGTTTAGACGTACACAGGCTTGGAGATATGTTACTGTGAGCATGTATACACATATATAAATCTCATTTTTTGTTTCTTTCTTTTTCTCATTTCTTGTTTATGTAAGTCCCGTCAATTTTATTGTGAAATCTCATTAGTGTTTTTTGACTTTTTCTATAAGATAATCGCTTACCAAAACAAAAAATGTGAAGGAAGATATTTCTTCTTCTCTAACTTTTTTTAATAAAATATCATTGTGGATCTATTATCCAAATGTTTCCTCATATTTTCATCACATTATTTGTAAAATTAACATTTTAGATGATATACTAAATTGATTATTGTTTTAATAAAGTAAATATTTCATTTGTATATGTATATACACATTTTCGTATCTCCGTTTGTCGAATCATTGTTCCTCTCTTTAGTTTAAAGAAAAAACGTATATTCTCTAACATTTGTTAATCGTAATTTTTTTTTTGGGTATATACATAATTATCAAAATGTTATATCTTATATATTACCAAGCAAATGGATCGTAAAAAAAAATTGACATTTTTTAGTTTAGACAACGGTTACTTATGAAAATGATAAAATTATTGACAAAAGCTAAATATATATATAGTTCCATATTACAACTAGAATTATACAACTTTCCCTTAATATCATTATTTTCTTCCATTTCCATAATGATCTTCTTTTTTCTTCATTCTATATACACATATGAACGTTTCATATATATAATCTTTAAACTAATTTGATTTTGATTTTTGGCAGTGGAAGATATACTTGAGG